ACTTGGTTTGTAATGTAAACTTGTAATTAGGTTTTGATAATTTTTGAGTTTCATAAAATTTATTGGAATATTTATATGTGAAGTTGATGAAATTTGGTATTGGTTGGTTAGCTATAATATCATTGTGGTGTGTAATGGTTAAACAATAAAGACGTAGACAATGTGTTTGATGAAATTCCAAAGAGATAACTTAGTAAAAGTTCAAGTACGTAACATTCGAAAATTGAAAAAAAATATTATACATTCATGTATATTGTGTTTTTTTTTTTGCAATAATGTTGATGTATTATTCATGATTTTTTTGTTAGGTTTTAATTTTTATCAATGGCTAGTAGTTCGGCATCAAAAAGTATTCCGTGTGATTCCCGGACATCCATCGAGGCCGAGAATGATTCCCAAGTATTTAAAAGAAAGTCGGATGACATAGGTTGGAACTATGGTGTTCTAGCCGATCCATATAACAAAGATAGAGTGAAATGCGTGTTATGTAGTAAAGTTATGTCGGGTGGTATACGTAGATTGAAAGAGCATATTGGTCAAATTTCTGGGAATGTTGTTTCATGTAAAAAAGCAACAAAAGAAGATCAAGCTAAATGTAGAAATGCCATCAATGAGTCCAAAGCCAAGAAGATGAAGACAAAAGAAGTTCAAGAAGAGTTGCTATCTTCGGTTAACATTAAAGGGTTGAATGTTGAGTCCTCTCAACAATGCGAAAAAGCAAAAGAATTTCACTCTCTTGGCCCAATGGATAGATTTGCTACAACAATCAACCCAGAAGCATCATTGAACGTGACAAAGACGATGCGGGAACAAAACATTAATGATGCTATTTGGAAAGAACGATCCAACTTGGTGAAAGATTATTTCGTCGATTGGGCTTATGAAGCGGGCATATCATTCAATGCAAATGAGCTTGATAGCTTTCGGCTCTTTAGTGAAGCGCTCGGTCAATTTGGGCCGAGGTGGAAGCCTCCTAGTTCGTACGAGATGAGAGAGCCATTGTTGAAGAAAGCGGTTGAGAGAACAAAACTCAAGGTGAAGCCTCATGAAGATGAATGGAAGAAGAGTGGTTGCTCGATTATGACGGATGCTTGGAGTGATAGAAAGAGAAGAAGCATCATGAATTTGTGTGTGAATTCTAAAATTGGAACGATATTTCTATCTTCCAAGGAATCTTCCGATATATCTCACACAAGTGAAATGATTTTTGAGTATGTGGATCAATGCATTGAGCAAGTTGGGCCGGAGAATGTTGTTCAAGTTGTGACGGACAATGCTTCAAATAATATGGGAGCGGCGAAGTTATTGTGCATAAAGAGGCCAACTATCTTTTGGACTTCATGTGCCGCACATACCCTCAATCTTATCTTGGAGGGCATTGCAAAACTACCCCGGTTCACCAAAACCATTGAACAAGCAA